CGGCGGCGTTGGCGGCGGCGGCGGGGGAGGCGGCGCGGCCATGGACCCCGCGTCCTCTGGCCCGTCCAAGGCCAAGAAGACGAACGCCGGCATCCGGCGCCCCGAGAAGCCGCCCTACTCGTACATCGCGCTCATCGTCATGGCCATCCAGAGCTCGCCCACCAAGCGCCTGACGCTCAGCGAGATCTACCAGTTCCTACAGAGCCGCTTCCCCTTCTTCCGCGGCTCCTACCAGGGCTGGAAGAACTCGGTGCGCCACAACCTCTCGCTCAACGAGTGCTTCATCAAGCTGCCCAAGGGCCTCGGGCGGCCGGGCAAGGGCCACTACTGGACAATCGACCCGGCCAGCGAGTTCATGTTCGAGGAGGGCTCCTTTCGGCGGCGGCCGCGCGGCTTCCGAAGGAAATGCCAGGCGCTCAAGCCCATGTACAGCATGATGAACGGGCTGGGCTTCAACCATCTCCCGGACACCTACGGCTTCCAGAGCTCCGCCGGCGGCCTCTCGTGCCCGCCCAACAGCCTAGCGCTCGAGGGCGGCCTGGGCATGATGAATGGCCACTTGCCTGGCAACGTGGACGGCATGGCTTTGCCCAGCCACTCGGTGCCCCACCTGCCCGCCAACGGCGGCCACTCGTACATGGGCAGCTGCGGCAGCGCGGCGGCCGGCGAGTACCCGCACCACGACAGCTCGGTGCCCGCCTCCCCGCTGCTGCCCGCTGCGGGTGGGGTCATGGAGCCGCATGCCGTCTACTCGGGCTCCGCAGCCGCCTGGCCTCCCTCGGCCTCCGCTGCCCTCAACAGCGGCGCCTCCTACATCAAGCAGCAGCCCCTGTCCCCTTGCAACCCCACGGCCAACCCCCTGTCGGGCAGCCTCTCCACGCACTCCCTGGACCAGCCCTATCTGCACCAGAACAGTCACAACACCCCAGCTGAGCTGCAAGGTGAGTGGGGAGGCTGGGCGGTTCTAGTCCTGGGGAGGTCGGACATCTGTGTGTATACTGCGCGGACCCAACCCCCCAAATTGACTCAGTCCCCCAAATTGCTGACCGCCCCCGGCGGAGAGCCTGCAGACACTTCTGTGGGGTGCCAACCCCAATACTGCAGTGCTTCTCAGTCCCACCTCCTAGTTTGAAGGTCGACTGATTTGGGCCCCCTGATTTGGGCTGAGATTTTCGTTTTTCTTTTTCTCTTCCAACTCCAGTCTTCTGGCAGTCCAGAGCCCAGCCAGGTAGGCCCCGTCCCCATCAAAAACACTCAGACCCCAATATTCTAAGTCCTTTCTGGTTTCTTAGGCCCCCTCACACCTCAGCAAGTTCCCAGGATTAAGCTGAGGCCCAGACTGGGCCAACTGGCTCACCATCCTGGGGTGGTCGCTCAGAAAGCTACCGGAGGGGAGAGCCGCCTCTGCTCCTTGCCTGGGCAGAACGGAAGAGTTAGGCCCAAGGCTGCCTGGGCCTGGTGCTCAGAGAGTCAGTGTCCAGCCTTTCAGGGAACCAGGTCTGGCCCTGCAAATGTCGACTTGGGGGTATGTTGTGGTGGCAGAGGTAGAGAGGGGCTGCGGCCAGGCCCAGAGTGAGCCGCAGAGTCGCAGGCCTCACAGACTCTTTGTTTCTCAGGATCCAGGTTTTCGGGTCCCCAGGTGTCCTCTCCCCAAGCCTCTAAGAAGATGCAGAACCATCTCCCCTCCTGAATTCCCATCTCAGCACCCACCAGCAGCCTTCTGGGCCTAGTTCTGGAAAGGGCATGGAGTGAACTAAGCAGGGTCCTGACAGGGGTCAGCTGTCAGCAGCCTGCAGGAGGCAGGAGCCTGGCCTGGGGGCTGGAAGGCCACTTCTCCACGGGGGGCGGGAGTCACTCTGCTTGGGCTGCTTCAAACTCTTGGGCTCCAGCTGCCCTGTTCTCCAAGGGGCACGTCCTTTGAAGAAGCTACTCTTCACCCCGTGATGGCTCTGGGCTTCCCCGCTCCCAGTGCCTGCCTCTCGCTGCTCTGAGGCCTCCACAGCCTTGGGGCTGGGAAGTGGCTTCCCCGGCGCCAGGCCTCAGGCTGACCAGGAGGTGGAGGCCTTCAGGACCCTCCCTGGCGTCTCCAGGCCCGTCTCAGCCGCTCTCACCCCTTCCTCTTCAGCTTCCAGAAGCCCCTCGGTCAGGTGTTCAGTGGCCAAGGCTGGAGAGGCCCAGGAAGCAGTGGGAGCAGGAACGGTCGCTGGTGTCCCGGGATCTTTCCCTGGGGCATACAGCTCGGGGCCAGGAGGGACGGAGGGTCGGGAACTTGGGGAGTCTGTCTGCGGGCAGGCGGAGCGTGGTGGGGGGGAGGGCCTGCGCCCCGTGGGAGGTGGGCAGCGCTGCTTCTCCTCCTTGAACTCTGGCCTCTGGCACTTACTCTTTACTTTCCCTCGTCTCTTGTCACCTCCCTCGCAGGCATCCCGCGGTATCACTCGCAGTCACCCAGCATGTGTGACCGAAAGGAGTTTGTCTTCTCTTTCAACACCATGGCGTCCTCGTCGATGCACTCCGCCAGCAGCGGCTCCTACTACCACCAGCAGGTCACCTACCAAGACATCAAGCCTTGCGTGATGTGAGGCTGAATCCCGAGGGGCCCTCTGGGCATGGGCCGCCCCGGCACAGGGACCCGGGAACCCACTGCAAGAAACTGCTTTATTCTCGAGGTATAACCGTCGGCAGAAGACAAGGGTTTGACCCCTCTCCAATCGGATTATTTGGAAAGGAATCCCCAGGGCAAAGACTTGGCGCAGTGGTCGGCACCTCCTCCCCTTCTCCCTCGAAAATTTAAAAAAATGGTGGCAGTAGGGCCTGATCTGACTGCAGCTGTTGGTAGAGAAATATCTATTTTTGATTCGATTGAAACCAGCTGAGAAGGTGCTGTGTTGGGGGAAAACCCTCGACATCTAAACAAAAATTCTGCTGAGGTCTCTCTTTTCCCTCTTCTCTTACTATGGAAAAGGTGAGGGGAGATTTTTTTTTTAGAAGAAAGGCAAACGTATGAGACCATCATTATCAAATACTTTTATTTTTTGGTTGAGTATTTATCTTTTTATTTTTAACTTTTTTGGAAAGAATGTCCTGGAGTGCGCAAGTCTCTTTTTAAAGCCGTCTTTTGCAGGGAAGAGGAGGAAGAAGCGGCATTCTCCCTCCCCACCTCAGAAGTCTTCCATCAGCCACAGGTGGATCTTTGTGCCGACAACTTGCATTTCTGAAGCCACTGTTCGTCTTTAAAAAAGAAACTAGATGGAGCTCAGAAGCGAGCGGCAACCCGGGCCTCTGCCCTTCCCCTCCGCCTTCTTCTTCTTCTTCTTCCTTCTTCTTCTTCCTTCTCTTCAGTCTTTTTGGTTTTGTTTCCAGTTTTATCTGGACTTTTTCGGTGGGTGTTTTTCTCACGAGACCTGGCCGTCTCCCGACCTCTACTGTAACTTTCCGGTGCGAGAGGGAGGCGAACGCAGCGCGGCGCGGGGACGGGGCAGGCCCGGCGAGTGCGCCAATTCAGGATTGCGGTGACGCAGAAAGGTTAAGGCACTTTTTAAAACTATAGCAAGGCTCATCCTGTTATTTATTCTTTCT